CGCGCAATTAAAGTACATGCCCATGTGTTCGCTCAATTCACGACCCATAGCCGCTGCGGTTTTCAATGTTTGGAATCACTGGTTTCTTTGAAACACAGACTGAAATCTGAACTCCGTATGTGGATGATACTTTCGACGTCATCGAAGAGGATCAAATGATCACGTTCACGTCTCAACAGCGTCTTTCAAGAAGTTCAGTTTATGATGGAGGAGGAATAAAACAATCAACTGGCTTTCCTTAAAGTCCTCATCTGCCACAAAGAATGTGGTGGCCTTAAGATAAAAAAATTCTGGAAAGCGACAACTACGATGCAAGAACCAAATATCTGTAGTAATCACCCAGTCAGCCAGAAATGTAGTTGCGTAAGCACGTATTGTAGTGAACCGAAATATCAATTTGTCGATTTGCAATATCTCCAAAGAGTGCTTAGAGAAAACGGCCACCCGCGTAACCTCGTTAAACGTTTGCGTATGCAAACGGCACGAATCACTATATCAGACCAACCCTGCATTTTTTTTCCAATTATTCTACACGCGAAGAAGGCCGCCTTCGCACTACACTTGGAGATGGGTTTACACGCAGGCCGGAAGCAACCATCAGGCACCGGATCATAAAGCCGAATCCCCCCTGCAATGACACCAAACTTCACGAGTCGCGTAACAAATCTTGTGCATATTTGGCAAAGCAACTACATTGAATAAACAGATAGCTTAGTCCGGACGCAAGCGGTTGAGGAGGCAGGAACAGTGAGGGAGGAAAGAGTACAGCTCTCAGTTTACTGCTTATCCGACGGGTTCAGGCCATGTTCAAAGTTCAAGGAGACCAAAATCCTCGCAAGAGATGACACCGCGTGGATTGCAAGGTGCTTGAGTCGTAGGTCGTGGACCCGCTGCCCATCAAGAAGCGCAATGCCCTCCAGTTCCCATATTCTGTACTATGGCATTGTCTTAACAGGAGATGAAGTCAGGTCAGAAGGGCACTGGCGAACAAAAATTCGAAGGACAGCAACCAAACTGCCGCCTAATTATCAGGTCAACGTTAAAGATGAATGATGGCCTGGCGACAATTAGCAAATCAGACGTGGACT